AGCCCTCCCAGAGTGCTAGGATTTCTTTTCCTGAAAAGCTCAACTGAAAAGTGTGAGCCACCAAACCCAGCCCATGGTATATCTTAGTATGAGTCCTTCAATATTGTTTCTTTAAAAAATTTTGTCTATTCTTGTTCCTTTACATTTTTATATATATGTTAGAATTCACTTTCCTATATTTATAAAGAAACTTGATGGCATTTTGATTGCAATTACATTAACAGCGTATATTTATTTGGGAACATGTGGTGACTGAGCTATGTGGAGTCTTCCAATCTATGGACAGGGCTTGAATTGACATCTTTACTATTTAAAGTTTTAATCTATGCGCTGATTTTTCTCTCCATTTATTTAGAGTTTCTTTGATTTTTTTCCTGTATAATTATATATATTTTTGAATCTTAATGTACCAATTATGCAGACATTTTCTTAGAGTTGTACCTAAGTATTTTACTGAGAGGGTGTTTTATAAACGACACTTATAAAAATTATTGGTTTCCTCTTATCCATTCCTAGTGAATAAAAATACAATGGATATTTGAATATATATCTTGTGTCTGATAAATTTACTTATGGCTCTAAGAACTCTTGTGTACATTCTTTGGGATTTTGTACACAGACAATCATGTTGTCTGAAAATAGGGAGTTTTACATTTTCCTTCTCAACTTAAATACAGCAGAACCTCCATAATTGACCATCTCCCTGCATTGACTACCTCCTTAAGTTGACCTAAATTTCACAAACCAAAAGTAAACAGCCTGCACACGGCAGTACAGTTGACCTAGTTCCTTGTGTTGACCACCTACATGTGTTGCCCATTTTGTTATAGTCCCTTGGGTGGTCAACTTACAGAGGTTCTGATTCCTTTCCTCTCCTACATCACTTTGCAGGACTTCAGTGTGATACTGAATGGGCCTAGTAACAGAGCAGTGGCTGCCTAGTTCCTGATCTTAAGGGAGGTGGCATTTCATCTTTACAATGTTAGCTGTCGTTTTTGATAAGAGCCCTTGATGACTGAGGAAGTTTTTTTATATTCCTAGTTTGCTGAGGGTTTTTATCATTAATGTATGTTGAATATTTAAAAATGCTTTTACTGCGTCTACTGATATAATTATGTGGGTTTTTTGTTTAGTCTGATTTTTGAATGTTGAAACAGGCTTGCATTTTGGGGATAAGCTTTAGATTTGTTGTGGTGTGTTATTGTTTTTAAATATTGCTGGATTGGATTTGATAATATTTTGTTGAATATTTTTGTGGCTATGATCTTTAAAGGATATTAGTCATTTGTTTTATTTGTCATGCATGGCTCATAAAATGAGTTGAGAAATATTCTTCTTATCTATTTTCTGGAAGATATTGTGTAGAATAGTTATTTATTTACTCATTTATTCTTTTATAAATGTTTTTTTGAGTTTACAAGTGAAAGAATCTAGGCCTCGAGTTTTTTGGAAGGTGTTTTACTTAAAGATGCAATTTCTTTAAAAGGCATAGATTTATTCACGTTTTCTATAACTTCTTGGGTGAGTTATCATAGCTTGTGCCTTCCCAGCAAGAGATCTGTTTTATTTAGGTTGCTGAACCACAGGAATCGTAGTTTATAGTGTTACCCGCTGTACCCCAAATCCCTCGGTTCTTGTCTTCTCGAGATTGAAGGATGAAAGCAAGCAAACGAATGCGTTTCAAGTGTACAGAGAGAGTTTACTGAAGCGGAAGTGCACTCTTGAGGGTTAAGAGAGGGCGGGTTTTGGACACAGATGTTTTTGTGTTGTCCCCTCTTTTTCCTTTTCCTTTTCCTTCTTGGGAAAGAGGGATGTTTTCTCCTTCCTGCCTTTGGGCAGGGGCATTTCTCACCTTATGTGATTAGGTCCAGATGGGTTATGATGCCCAGAATTCACTGGGGGGTGTGTATGGGCCAATCATAACATCCTGTTGAGCCTCGTGTTTCTGTTACGTTTCTTGTGACACTTGTGGATTCCTGTATCTCATTACAGTATGTCTTCTTACCCCGCATCCTGTTTGCTTACATTGTCTGTTTTTGCTGATG